TTGAATAAAATATTCACCATAAGAGATCTGCATGGACCACGGCAATCATAGATACTACAGAGCCTGATGATCAATATGTGATCGCTAGATACTCTATATCTGCGCACAAGACGTTTTTTGGAACCTGCATCCTGCCATCAGGACACATTGTCCCACGTGGCAAAAAATCTGCATCCTGGCATCAGGACGCATTGTCGCCAACGTGTTAATGTGACGAGTTTGGCATCTATGCTTATTGCAAATTTTCAAAAGTTAATTAGTTATGTATGTCTCTTCTGTATGTGTGATCATATATCCATTAATCATGATTGAAGTCTTGACTTTTTTTCTCTCTAGGAATATGTGCAGAGACTGGAGGCTACTTTTGGTTCGGATCAATTAGCTAATATGGAGTTGAACTTGGAGACGTGGCGGCAGCTGTGGAGGGTCTTGGAAATGTCAAATGTGGTCTTGGTCATTGCTGACATACGCTTTACTGTATGTCCTCAGGAACGTAGTGTTTGTAGTTGCCATGCATTAGTGAGACTTTGGCATCAGAATGTCAAATATATTTCCAGGCATTGATGTTTCCACCCTCACTCTATCACTTTGTGAAGGAGGAACTGGGAAAACACCTGATCTTTGTCTTGCACAAGATTGATTTGGTACCTCCACCCTTGGTTTTGGCATGGAAGAAGTACCTGCAGACCAGATTCCCTGGTGTACAGATCATCTGCTTCTCCACATTTCCTCGCACTACAGATGGCATGAATTCCTTTTCTTGATGCTATATGACATGGTGTTGTCCTTTTTTCCTGGAAAGGCTTGACTGGTTTCTCTGTGTAGGTGATGGAGGGAAAAATCGTCCTCGGGGTCGTTTGAAATGGAAAATGGCCACAAAGTGTGCATCCAAGTTATGTGAGGCATGTGAAACACTCATCCCTGGTAGTAAGTGTCTGCATCCTCAACATATTTATAATGCAAATTTAAAAAGGAATTCATGATTCAATTAATTTTAACAAATGTTAATTCAATGATTTATTGTGATTCCCTTTAGTTGATTTCTCCCAGTGGAAAGCCAAGATACTAGAAGATGAAGCTTTTTGTCTGGGAGGACCTGGAAAGGATTCAAGTGAGGATGCAAGTGACTGTGAAGTGGAGAACATTTTAGAAGAGGATTCCAACATATCTCCCATGGATGTCCCAGGTGTTCTCACAATTGGCTGTGTTGGGTTCCCTAATGTTGGGAAATCTTCTCTGATCAATGCTCTAATGGGCTTCAAGGTGAGGAAAAGTGCATTCATGCCTGGGTTAGAGCTGCCTCCCAGGTAGACTTACTGTTGTTTAAATGTATTTTTTAATTTCTTCCCCTTCAGTATCAATAGCCAAGGAGTGAGAAGTCTGTGCTGGAAAATTTTTGCTTAGTCAACCATGAAAAAGGGCCAAAAAATTTGGCTATTATATTTTTATAGCATGACTTAATGACAGAGGTTGCTCTCTCTTGCTCTTTTGGCCAAGTGCTGAGGACAGCCTGCACATTTCAAATGAGTGGTCAGGTGCTTTTTGTTTATATTGGAAAAAATCATTCTGAAACTTATGGAGGGAGAAAAAGAATGCATCAGTGAGTGATAAACTCCAAAAGTGGATGCCTAGCCCCCTTCATGGAAACAAGTTTGCAGCAGGGGCCAGCTATAGAGTGGACTAGTTTCAGCTGGAATATTTCTCAAATACTGGTTGTTTATAATGTCCTTGTGAAACTTTAAAATCGAATAACTTCGAATGTACATAATAAGCAAACTGTGAATGGCATATGAAAGCATAAGTATTAAAGTTTTTCACGTTCTAAGTATACATTTCTTTGCCTCTATGTGACTGCCATAATTCATGATATATCATTCAATCAGATTTTCCAGAAGCTTAAAAACATTTTCCAGTTGTTGTAGAGTGATTTCATGAATTGCATTTGTGATCCTGGCTAAAATTTCATCCTAAGAATGTTGCTTTTATGAGAAAATAACGCTTTTAGCATGGCCCAAACGTAGTCCAGTGAGACACTGGTTTGGTGAACAAGGTGGCCAAGAAATTTCTGCCAATGTGGGACAGTTCCAGGATGAAGTTTTCCCAGCCAAGTGGTTTGGTGGAGGTGGACCAATTGCTTGACCCCCTTGTTCACCTGACTTGTTCCCATTAGTCTACTCTTTTATGAAGCCATGTTATAAGTGTCTTTTACACATCAAAACAACATTCTTAGAAATAATGTTTGGCCAAGATCACAAATGCAATTCATGAAATCACCCAGTGACAACTGGAAAATGTTTTCAAGCTTTTGGAAAGTCAATTTGAATGATATATCATGAAATACGGCAGGTATGTCGAGCCAGAAATTTATTATGTTAAAAACTTTAATATAATTATGCTTTCATAAGCCATTGACAGTTTGCTTCTATGATGTATACATCCAAAGTTATTAAATTTTGAAGTTGCCCAAGGACTTTACAAATACCCTGTATTTTCCACAAAAGCAGCCACTTAACTACTGACATATTAAGAGACCTTATTTTGAAGGACTGCATGGACTCAGATATCTTTAAATTGGTTTCTCTTCATTCAAGGAGAAACAGACCTGCAAGAAACCTGCAGTGGGATCCCATCAAATATGGACAGCAGGAACTAGGGTGAAAAAGTAGTGAACAACTTAAAGTGGGATTGACAACTTATAACATGAATTTGTTTGCATCTTAACCCTAGCAATACCAAGCTTCTTTTTGGTCCAAGGAGTACAAAGGGGGGGTTTCAGAGACCCAATATTAAAAACTAGTTAATAGCTACAATTTTGCATTTTAGGCATAATGCTCTATTTACACATCATAGTTAGAGTACAAAAAAATTATTTCTTTTTTACAAACTAGGCTAGTACTTAAATTTTAACAGGAGGAAAGACAGAAATATTTATGAAACACTTCTTTCAAGACTGTTTTATTCCCTGTCTTCTGATTCATCACATTTCACATCTGCAGCTTAATAACCTATTGGCATATCATAATAAGAGTACAACTAACATATCCATTCATTAAGAAAACACAAAACTAGCAAGAACTAGTATCAGCCCCTTAGAACTACTGGGTGGGATCTGAGAGACTCACCCATTATATAAATGTAAGTTAAAGTCACACAATGAAGTTTTTACCTGTTCATTCCTTGAAGTGTCGAGGACAATTAGAAATCGTTTCATGTTTTCTTTCAAATTACAACAGTAAAAAATAATAAAACTTAAGTTCTGGGCTTTGTTGGCCCCCCCTCCCTTTCCATTGCTAGAGTTAATGGATACACTCATGAGATTCTTTTAATCCATTTTCATGCCATTACAACTTGCCATGGATCTCTGCTTTGGCTTTTTGCCTTAGTTATTTTTGAGAAGATACCTTTGGTCTGAATGGTGATTGAAAGCTGGATTAAACTATGCCTTCAAAATTCAGCATACTTTTTATCCTGACTTTTCTTCAACTAATTCTCAACACTACTACCATGCTGTCTTGACTCCCAAGCTGCATGATGAATTTGTCAGCTGTGTGGGAGCTGGTGTGTATTTCTTTACATTGACACATGAAAGTGAGGATTTGCATGGCACCATGACTGGCTTATCCCCTTGTAGACTTTCTCACAGATCCTTCATGTGGTCTTCTCCCTTTCCCATGTATTCCAAACAGTGGGAGTTGACTGGATGCTTATACTATGTATAAGTGTGAGTATACTATGTATACTCACAGCTTTCAGTTCTATTTGGTACTTTATTTCCATTTAAAATATGGACAAGAATTAACTTTCTGGTTACGTTTCATTATTAGGAAGTCATGCTAAAATATTGAAATTTTTCCTAGGTTGTCAGTGTTTCTCGTACTCCTGGCCATACAAAGCACTTCCAAACTATATATCTCACAAACAATGTGCGTCTCTGTGATTGCCCTGGATTGGTTTTTCCATCTTCTGCTGCCCGCCATCTTCAGGTTAGCCATTGATAATTGTGATTTACCACCCTGTTGAGGACTATGCTATGCAACAACATCCATTGCATATTGATGAGAAGTGCTACAAAGGCAAACACAAATCTGCTCTTGATAGTTTATATATGACAATGGCCCCCATGGCATTAGGAGGTGCAGGAATCATCATATCCTAGGGATTATGGAAACATAAACTAGTTATTACTACCATGAGTACATTTCTTCCTCGTTCTCTTGAGAGACTATATACTCTGCTGTATGCCAAACTTCTATGAGATGAAGACATTATGCTGTAAATTTTTAATAAACCTGATTTGCTAACTTGCACAATTATCTCTTATTTATGGTTCCTAGTAAATATAGTAAAAGAACTTTTCCTTGTGGTTAATCCTTTTTCTCGCACATGCCAACAAAGGTTTCGGAAAGTATCAAAACACACCCTCACCAGTGAAAGGGTTAAGTGTGTTTAGATTGAACCTCTGGCACTGGCAAGGTCTAAGGAAAAGTGTCCCCTTGGACTACCATTCAATGATCTGTTGGGGAGGCCAAGATATATCATTAGTGTCCATGGATCCTTGCTATATATATGTCATAGTTTCTTCATTTCAATTAAAAGGATGCATCACAGATGGAGTAAGAAACAACCAGCTTGTAGCAACTTGGTTGGGATGTAAGTGGCAATATGCCTAGACTTTGCAATCAACCATTTAATTATTACAGAGCCTAATTCTGCATGCTAATAGGTCTTGATGGGGAGCTATCCTATAGCTCAGCTTCAAGAGCCCTACTCAGCTGTTCAGTTCCTGGCTGAGGCATTGCCTATAGTGAAAATGCTGCGATTGGTCCATCCAGATCATGAGGGCAATGCTCCTTACAATCCCGATCGCTACGAATGGTGTGCTTGGGATGTATGTGACGGTGAGCTTCCCACGTGTCTTAGGATCTTGTTCATGTCTTCTCTCAACCTTATAAGCTCATCATTTCTCCCCATAGCTTGGGCTGAAAAACGTGGCTATCGCACAAAGAAAGCAGCTCGTCTTGACACCTACCGAGCTGCTAATCATATCCTGAGATTAGCCCTGGAAGGAAAAATCTGTTTATGTCTTTATCCCCCTGGATACAACAAGTCCAAGAGTAAGTCCAAATTTCCTGTGATTCAGGTTTCATGCTCATGAATCTTCTTCATGCCTATGATTGAGTGATGATGATACTTCACCTCACAGGTGAGTTTGAAACGAGTCCAGAGTTGCAGGAGATCCATTCCTGCTATCCACCATCTTTCTTCTCCTCATTGGAGGTCAGTGCTCACACAAATAAATCAAAGGAGGAAGCAGAGAGTGATATTAGCGATGATGAAGATGAAGGAGGAGATGAGACCACTGGTGGCAGTGTTGGTGATGATGATGATGATGATGAAGAGGATGATGAACCCGGAAGTTTCAACAAATTTGCTTTTCTCTCAGAGCAAAGTGTTTAAAATGTTGATATCTAAGAGGTTACTGAGCTTTTAAGTGTCAAATAATAGCTGTCCTTGCTGAGGAAAGTGAGCTATTAATTGTGTGCTGCCAATGTTTCTATTTTGTGATTCAGGAGCAAAGGCTTCAATTGTGATTTTCAAATCTCTTACAGTTGAAACTTGGTATGATGAAATTGGACGTAATGAAAACCAGTTATGGGGAAACCATTCACATTGCCTGGCTGAATGCCCATAGACACCCTTGTTAAGTGATTCAAATGTTTTGACATTTTGATCACTATCTAATGTCTCTGGTGTTCCCATGGAGAACAGACTGGCTATGTTTGATTTTTCATTTTTTTGTAGGAAAAAGGTGTTTGCATCTCTTTAAATATGCCTGATGAAGAGATTCTGAATGTGGGTGAATGTGCATGTGGTAAAGGATGTGAACACCTGCAAATGGTTGTGGGTTACTACATCTAGTTCCTCCTCACTCCTGTGCCCATTATTCCCATTTGAATTTTTATTTAGACAGAGACATGTATGCCTTATGCACAGGATATTATTATATTATTATTAATATTATTCACATTTAAATTCTGTAGTCCTTAATATCCATTTTGCAGCAAGCTCAAGAGCCCTTGGGCCTCCACACCTAAAGGATGATGAAACCATGTAAACAAAGTCTAAAAATGGGTTTAGCACTTTGAAATCCAGTTATGTATCTTGCTTCTGATAAAATTACATGATTCTTGTTACTTTTTCAACTGCATTGCAACCAGTTTTGACTTTTAATCTCTTTTTCATGCATGCAAGAAAAATCCACTCCGAGAATCAGTAAGTGAAGGAGGCAGTATTTGTCTATGGTTTGTTTTGGGGCATGCCATTAGAGGAGCCAGAAGTTAGATGAGAATCATTTTTGTAACTTTCCCCTGATAGCTGCCCATTAGGTTTTGCAACTCATTGTGGATTGTGGCATTTACTTTTGTGACTGAAACCTTAAGTCTTTCTTGGTTGCTACTCCTGGCCATCTCTGTTGAATCTCTTTTTATCAGCCTTAGTTTTCATGGATTAAGGAATCTGTCATCTTTTGGTGTTGATATGAGCATTGTGAATCCTACATCCCTTTTCCCTGGTTTGAAGGCCTCTCTGGTGGTGCTTTGAAAAGAGTGAGCCTGTGAGAAAAATGTGTGTTCGTTGTGGTTAAATGCCAGCAGGCATTTACCCTTCATATTGAAGACGAGCTGTGATTATTTCCAGTTTAATAGGCCTCATTGTGGTGCCTATGCTGATTGCCATTCCTATTGGGAAATTTCTGTAACTAGTAACTGTAATTTCTGTAACTAGTTTTTCTTGCATTTTTTTCCCTGTGTATTGGCCGTTTTACATCCCTGCTTGAAGAAAATGGGATTTTTAAATGTGATTAAATGTTTCTGTTGACTTCTTGACTTGCTTCTTTGTAGAGATATAATTTCAGCTCATTTATGACATTCTCTCAAATTGTGGGACTAGTGGTTGGAAGTTTTGACCCAGTTTAAGTATTTGTCCCACCTTTTCACATTACAGCATTTCATCAAAATTTATTCTGAAATTAATCATCCGTTTTCTGTTGAATCATAACCACTGATGTCTGATGTGGTTACCATCACAAGTATCAGCTGATGTCTGATAACCAATAGCAGATCTCTCATACCTCTACTTAATATATGCTGCATGGCTGCTACCTCATGTCATCATGTTGTGGCTTTATTTATAATGTTTTTGGGTTCATTAGAATTTCTTGTATCTCACTGTTTAAATTTTCACCAATCATGATGCCAGCAACGAGCCTGATCACAGCTCAATTTACTCCAACACCTTTCCTTGATATGTTCATGCCATCAAATTTTTGGTGGTTCTAAAATTCAGTTCTAATTTCACCTAATCAGTAGACGCTATTTAATGAAAGGGGTAAGGGGGGTTTGAGCAAACTTAAATTCTCTTTTGAGAGTTTGTAGTTACCTTTGCCACAACATTTTTTGTCATATTGTTATAGCTTTGGCTGCAGATGCTGGAAATTCCAGGCATGGACTCTTGCTGTCCGTCTTCTGTACATATGGTACAATGGTATCTTTACAATGTGACTTAAATGAATGAGGACTGTCTCCAATTGATTTTGTCTGCAAGTCCCTTAAAACCAGTCCAGGGTTTAAGTAAGAAATATTAGTATCCTTTGTTCATAATGTTTTCATGCATACTGATAGGCAGCAGAGATGCCAAATAATCTTATGATGTAGTGCATTGGTAGGAATGACATTGTGCCTAATACCATTGGTCTTATCTTTTGTGTTTCACAGTAGTTTAGATTTTCTCTGGCTTGCTGTGGTTTGTGAGTCCAGATTACAGGGCAGGGGACCAAACCTCTGCTGTTGTCTTTCAAGCAAGATATGGACTCATCCAGGTATTTGACTCAGCAGACAACATCCACTTTTAATTTTTAATGGAGGGCTTCACTTTCTGGTCCTATTAAGCTCAAGCAGTACCTAGGACTGAATTTGTAATTCTAGCTTTCATACTTTGATGCAACAAAGTTCAACTTGGGACTAACATGCTAAAAGTGAAGTTTTGTGGTCTTTTCCTAGGGCCATATGACATATTTCATCTTGCCAGACTACATCCAATGATTTTAGTAAAATCCTTAAATCTTTCTCATTCCTAATCTTTTCCCTCAATTTCATTTATGCTCCAATAAGGTTACAGTGCAATATAAATGTGATGATGGTTCTGTCTCTGTTGGTATGTGAAGTTTATGGGATTCACCTCGAAAGGTACTGGAGCAGCATTTTTCATTAGAACATATACATTTTGTCGATGCATATAATACTATTCAGGTAAAGGGTGTGAAGTCACATTGAAGCTGTATGAATGACTATTGCATTTTTGCTTGATGCAGTGGCTTCCAGAGACGTTCAGGACTAACCAACCGAATCTGCTGTTCTGAGCATCCAGATGCTGCCCTCATAGAGGATTACAGGGCTGGGGATCAAATTTGCTCAGCATGTGGGAAGGTTATTGGAGATCGGTAAGCACAAGAAAATCCTTATGTCAATTCATTATGTGTCAAGAAATGTTCTTGTCACTTTGCCAAATGGGTTCCATATCTGGATTCATTTTACTTTTTCAGCGTTATTGATGTTGGTACTGAATGGAGAACTTTTGGTGATGAGAAGGGTGATGTAGACCCATCTCGAGTTGGAGGACCTGAGAATCATCTCCTGAATGGGGCTGATCTTTCCACTATGATTGGACCAGGACCCAGTCGTTCCTCCGACTTTAATCCCAAATACCACAACAGGAAAACTGTAGGTTTTTCTGATTGTGCCTGAGCTCATGCTCAGTGTGCATTGTTATCATGGAGACTGTAACTTATTCTAAACATTTTGAAATCTTTATTTTCAGCTCTCGGGCTCTGATAGAGCTCTCATCAATTCCTTCAGAGAGATCGGGAATATGGCTGATCGTCTCAATCTTCCTCGCACCATTGTGGATCGTGCTAATCTTCTTTTCAAGCAAGTCCACGATGGAAAGAACCTGAAGGGACGATCAAATGATGCTATTGCTTCTGCTTGCCTGTATATTGCCTGCCGTCAGGAGGGTGTTCCTCGCACGTTTAAGGTTACCTGCATTGATATTTTACTTGAAAATTTTCTTCCACTCATTCAAGATGAGATTGTGCATGGCAGTAGTGTTCATACTTTTTTTCAGGAAATATGTGCAGTGAGCAGTGTAAGCAAAAAGGAAATTGGGCGTTGCTTCAAACTCATCCTGGCAGCCCTGGAAACAAACGTTGACCTAATAACCACTGGTGATTTCATGCCAAGATTTTGCAAGAATCTAAGTGAGTCACACATGCCAAAATTAGAAGTCTAATATAGACTAACTCTTTCCAATATTGGAGTCTCTCTGAGATAATGAGCAATTGATAGATTAGACAGGGAGGTGTTCCAAGTTACCTTCTTTGTCAATCTGTACCAAGTGTAGTTTTTTGCCCTTCATAGAGGCTCAAAAAGCAGGAAGCATAGGACTGCTTCTTGCTCATTTTTATGAGCTGTTTCATATCCATGCCCTTAGCATTGCTGCTTCTGGTTTTCAAATCAGCTCAGAGCTTCAAATCATTGCTTTTCATATATCAGAATTTCTCTACTTTTTTATTTGAAAGTCCTGAAGGGGACTTCTCAAGATCTTCAAGAGTCCCAATAGTGTACAATTCCCACAGTAGCTGATGGGGCTGATCTGGTGTGTCTAATAACATTGGATATGACAGCCATGGTGCTCTGTGTGAAGATGACAGTTGGCATGGAATGGAAAGTTAGGACTCAGACAATTTGGTGGATATAGTGGCTGTTTGGATTAGATGTTTCAATGTGATTCATCATATGAAAAGAGGACTCTGGTTTTTTTTTCTATATACAATGGGTGGTCTTGTTTCTAATGGAGACATCTGCATCCAAGTGACTCAGTTTCAATGACAATGGTATTGAAAGCCTCCAATACTGTCTACCATGACACCATGTAGGACAGGAACTGCCAAGCTTGATACTGTTAGCAGTCATTGGGACAAATCAAACTCCTTCCAGAAGTTTGAGATTGTCCCAAAAGTTGGGCAAATGTGAGTGAGGCTGGTGGTGAAGTTATGGCATGGTTTCCTCCCTAATGACATGACTCTGACATTGGAACTAGACCTCTGAAGGGAGGTGGGATGTTGACATGTATGAGCCATGGACTCGTAACACAAATAGCATCTTATGTCATACCAAGCCAAGGGAGATGAAGCTTAATTGAAAATGTGGAGCTGAAATCATCACCAATATGTCCAAAGTCAGTTGCACTAGCTTGGGTTTTACTGTGGACAAAACGGCACAGTGAACTGGGAACGATGAAACTAGTTTTTGAAAAGCAAGGTAGCAGTGGCAACTTGTGATATACAGCAGTAGTAGCTCATCAGTGGAGAGGGGAGGCTAGCCTTCTTTGTCTCCACTGTTGAATCACTACTGCTGCATGTCACATGCAGCCGCTGCAAGATAGGAAGTAACCCTATAAGTAAATTTCAGAGGAACATGTTGAGTTTTTAATTTATTAAGGGTGGGGGTCCAGGAAGGAAGGTAGAGCAAGCAGGACAGATGTATTGCCCCCCAAATCCCTCTCAACTGGGACCATGTCAATGTAGCCCATTTCAACCCCAGAGTTATGGGCATTAATAAAGGCATTACTAACAGTTTTATTGTTTCTCTTCTTCATTGTAGGGCTAGATGTGATGGTGCAAAGGGCTGCAACCCACATTGCTCGCAAGGCAATAGAGTTGGATATTGTCCCTGGGAGGTCCCCCATCTCTGTTGCTGCAGCAGCTATCTACATGGCATCTCAGGTGAACATCATTAAAGCCTTTTTAAAAAGTAATTCTGTCTTTTGTACCCCCTCCTGTGAAGAAATAGAACATCTGTTCTTGGGGATTTAACTGGGTTTTAAGCTGGAGTCTTTTCAGTAGTGGCTAAGTTCCAGAAATCAGTCACTTCTATGAAGTGCTATTTATCCTCCTAAGACCTGAATGGTACGAGGGTCATCCCAAAAGTTCGAGAACAAGTGTGAATATTTTCTTTGCATGTGATCCAGCAGCAACAGTCTTATCATAATGTTCATATTGATGTCTCATGGTGCTAACCTAGGAATGATGGTGTAATTGCTCCTTTCTGTTGCAAAGATACCACATTTTTAAGTAGACCTATATTTTACCACTATGAAAGAAGGTGATCAGGTCCAGCAAGGTGGGCTTTGGTTTCTGTGGAAGCAAAGAAAGTCACAGACCCAGGTTGGTTGTGAGCTGCAATAAGTTTACAGGGACAGAGTTTTTCTCAGAAGTTCCATGAATATGTGGTGCATCACTTTGAAGCAGAATGGGATACAGTGGATGATTCACCAAGGTCGACCTGACCTTGGTGCACAGTTGGAGCATGTTCCTGCTGTGAACCAGTGGGTTCAAGTGACCCCAGCAAGCTGGTTTGCTGAAGGACTCAAGAAGCTGATAGAACAATGGCAGAAGTGTGTGCAGCTGCATGGGAAGTATATAGAGAAAGTTCACTTGAAATAATGCTTCATTTAGTGTTTCAGCTTGATGTAGAATAAAGTGTTCTCAGACTTTTTGGATGACCCTCATATGTACACATGCCAAATTCTTATGAGTTTCATTTTTTCTGGATCCGAGGAGGCTATATTTGAGGAGAATGACAGAATGAATGTATATAGAAAGGGGGGGGGGGGGGAAAAGCCAGCATGAAGTTAATCATTTTATGTACAGGCTTTTTCAGTCAAAAGATAATATCTGTATTATCTTTTATGATGAGTTATCACTGTGAGATGATAGTCTGAAATGCACAGTCCTTGCGTTGTTCTTCTGTTTCTAGGCCTCTGAGGATAAGCGGTCGCCAAAAGATATAGGCGACATTGCTGGGGTGGCTGATGTTACCATTCGACAGTCCTATAAGCTCATGTGTCCTCGGGCTGCAGAGCTATTTCCAGAGGATTTCAAGTTTGCGATACCTGTGTCCCAGCTTCCTCCTCAATAGAGTTTATGGACTTTAATTGGTTATTTGTTTGACATGAATAATTAATTATTTGCTTTGTTCATCAAAAGAAAAGCTCATGTGAGGATTCTGTGCTCATGGACTGCATATAAGATGTGATCAGGATTGACCTTATGCTGTTGTCATTTGTGTCCATTTTCATGTGTCAGGGAATATTCCAGAGTTAAGGCCATTGATTGATTGATCATATATGCAGTCAATGAGTTGTCTTATCTCAATCCAGAGAAGGATCATGTGAAGGGGCTTGTGATGACAACTGTATGATGATTTGATTTGCAAAGGTGTTTTAATAGTTACCACTTCTTGTTATTCTATTGTGAGAAAACTACCAAAAGTTCACAATGCTTATGTCTGGCACTTCATGCATTCACTTTTCCAGCAGGCACTGTATACTCAGTATTGACCTGCTTCAGCATTGATTTCTTATTGAACTCCATTATCCAGGGGTCCTCCACAAAACTCTCAAAGCAGAGGCATTGTCATTCATGTGCACTGCATATTAGCCACTTTTGCACCCTCCTATAACATGGAATAAAAAGCATAGAGCAGTGGGTCTGAGGAAATCCAATATTCCCTGCTAATCTTAAGAAAGGGATTCAAGAGAGTTGTGGACCCAAGCAGTGAGGGAAGCCAGAGATTATCAGGGATTTCAGGAGCAGGCCTAATCCATGTGGAGAAGTGTGTGATGTGTATGTGCAGGTGATTAAAGCATGTACTTGGGCCCTTCATGCTTGCACATTTTGAGGGGAACCTTGCATTATCATCAGTGAAGTAAAATAGGAACAGGACATCCAGGTTTTCTGCAAATTTAGTAGAATCTCCTTGAATTCAACTCAATGGGTTTAGTTCTGGGTTTGGATCCAGCTAAATCTTTTCCTGGGTTTTTAATGTTGCTGGGTCTACCTGCAAGGTGCATTTCTAGCTGTTTTGTGCTTGTTATTTCCTTTCTAGGATTTTTGTGTTCTCCACATCCTGCAATTTGGTACATTCCCTTTCCAAAGGTTTATTATTTTGTCAGTTTTTAAGACTAGAATGTCTTCTGAATCTGACATGTTTCTACAGCATGTAGCTGTTATGATCCATTGGCACTGTCAAGCTTGCCCATTGCTTTATTTGTCAAAGAAACATTACAGCATATTTGTGCACAAGCATTCAAGTACCCAAATCTAGACTTCATGAGGAGAGAGACTCACTCTTCAGATCATATTCTGCAACTCCCACATGGTAGTTTTTTAACTCAGAGAAACAGAATGGTAATGACATTGACTCCATGTCAATGTGCTGCCCTTGAAGTTACTGTAAGTCTTTTCCCCCCTGTTTGCTTTTCCCAGTTTTTTCTCATCTGAGTGAATTCTCAGTGTGGTAAATTTGATATTATACCTCATGCTCTGCTGTTCATAAAATATTCCATGCCATGGATAGTCATTTTTCAATCTGACATTTTACCCTTGACTTGGACACCCTGTATGGGAAGTGCCCCTTTGCATGAATGTCTGAGTCAATGAAAAAATGTCTAACTACAGTGAAGAACACTGTAACTGGCCATCTGCTTCCTGTCATGGTTTCCTTCCAATATAGACTCAGATGCAGGGCAACCTAAGAGTTGTCTCTGGAAGATTTTTCATCCATTAGAGCAATTCACTGGGCCTTGTGCATGTCCTTGCACTTTGTCTGAGACTGTATTACTGCACCACTGTGGATTGACGACCCTGGTGCTGCTTAATATATTGGTTTTGAAAGGGTGCCACTAGGCTACCATTCCTGTCAAAGTGGGAGGATTTGTGCCATTGTCATAGTTTAGAGTTAGCCTTATTCTTCATTAGAAGATTCCCCTTGATATGTGTCAGGTGGTGTTTTGCATTCAATAGAACTGTGGAGATCATACTTTGCTATACCATTCTTTCTTTTCTGATAATGGTTTTTGCTAGGATTTGCTATTTACATCAACTGAGATCATCTGACTGAAATGTCAGGTTTGGGACCATCATGAGCAAGAATGGGAAGTGGAGCTTCCAGGAAGAATGGGCTGAAGTGTCCCAGCTGCATACTGTTCACTGGGAATTGTGGTAAGAAAATTTAAACTTGGACCTTTTGATACTATGATCTTGTTGAACAAAACTCCTCATTCTATTCTGAAGGCAACTGCAGAGTCCATATTTTGTGAATCTCTTTCTTATAATTAAATGAAATTCTGCCATCTCTGTCCTCTGGTTTCATTCTCTTTGTGGTGAAATTTATCATGTTTCTGTTGTGACTGGTTAAGGGATGTCTTCCCGGGCTTGTGCTGGAGAGTGCACAATGCTCTCAGGTGGGTTGACCAAGAGACTTACTCTTAGCAAAAACACATCACATACTTGTACTTGGGTACATGACTCTCTTATAGGGTGTGTCAAAATTCCTAATTGGTTATAACTTTTGAGGGCTGGATCAAATTGAGATTTGGTTTAGACCATATGAGAGGTAAGAAAATTTTCCACCTGGAGATATGTTGTATTTATTATTTTGCTGATCATATTTTTTGAGCATTAAGTAAATTCCATTTTTGATGGTTCTATAAGTATGTTCACATATGAAAACATTGCTTGTATGATATGTCATACTGATTTCCAATTGAAGTAACTTTAAGGAAAGTGACAGAAAAGAGTCTGACTATTGATGGGCAGTGATAGGTTTGGCTTCATTTCGAAATTGTAATAGGTTTGGCTTAATTTCGAAATTGGCCAGAATGCAATTGGAACTATCCAGGAAAAACTGTAACCAAGAAACTCCTAGACCCAAGTCAATCATTCATATCAAATTGATTTTGTATACAATCGGAACATTAGCAGCACCCCTGCTCTGCACATCCACAAAGTGGTTGATCTGAAGAAATCTTCATTTGGTCAGCAGGAAGAGCTATCAATCACTAAAAGTTGATGTGGTGCATGATAGCAGAGACTGCAATCCTCAGTCATCAGCTGAACAAAATATGCAGAAGGATCCCAGACTTGTAACTTTGAAATAGTGTAGACCAGGGGTGTCAAACTCAAATCGATTGGCAGACCACATTCCTTACCTTGCAGATTGCCTGCGGACTGCACCAATACTTTTTTCATCAAAATTTGTGCTGACAGTCGATCCAAACAGAAACTTCAAGAACAGACAGTGGGCCAGATGAACCACCTCCGTGGGTCAGATCTGGCCTATGGGCCATATGTTTGACACCCCTGGTGTAGACCACAATGCAATCTGATACTTCAGTGAGTTATCACCAATCAAATGACAGGCAGGACATTAGACTCATACCTTGTACATGTATTGTCACATGCTGTGATTTTTGCAAAATCATGGTTGAATACTGTTTATCAGTTTTAAGAACATGGATGAGGGAAGAAGGAAGTTGGCATAAGCTGTGGTATTATTTAAATTTTGATTTTTTGCTGATCTCGAGTGTTGTGAAGTCATTCTCAGCCAGTGATTGGCTCAAAATATTTGACTATTTGACAATTACTGCTTGCATAATAGGAGGGTTTTCTTTATTTTAAATTTTTGTTTGTGTTGCTGGTTCTCTATTTTTCATTTCTATTTCAAATATTGTCCTTGGCTATTAGAATTGAAAATCAAATACTTCAAATAAGTTTTAAATAAAAGAGAAATAAAATCCTATTTATATATTTCAAATTGTATTTGTGAAAATAGTCAAGTAATTTTTACCCATAACTGCCCACCTACAAAAAAAAGAAAGAAAGAAGAAAGTAACTGTTTCACTTACACTTCTAAGGTAAATAATCCATATGTAGTAGCAACTCCTTAACCCTTGGAACACCAAGATCATTTGCATCCCGCGAAACGCCAAGATCGGGTCATTTTTGACCCATTAGTATATGATTTGATTTGATTAGTATGTCACAATGATGTTAAAAATTTCATCACTTATGAACAAAGAAAAGGCATCTTTGCTTGTGAGTGCATTCTTGCTGAGATCCGTAGGGCCATGCCTTTCCTTCAGGATGTTGTGACGCGAAACGTTGGAGGACTGGCCAACATATTTCCAGGGCCTTCCAGCAAAGTCCACATCCCGCATGTCACGTTCTTCTTCAGAGCTGTCACTTCCACAAAATTCATCTCCTGATTTCGTCATAATTTCTGGTTCTCCATCACTGCAAGAATCGCCACTTTCGTCATCCATAACATCTGAGTCAGACTCTTCATGTAGAATGCTTTGAATGGTGTCCATAGAGATCGATGGCCGTGGATTGTTTCCTGCCATGTTCACAACTACACTAGAACTGATATGTGAAGACAGCACCACACACTGACACGAGGCCGAATTGAAGGCGTCTGCAAGGGCTAATATACGGTTAATATACAAGAAAAATTACAATTTCGACTGTATGGGTCATTTTGACCTGATCTTGGCGTTCCGAGGGTTAATGTGAAGTTTTCTTGTAAAACAGTGGAATGAAAATTCTTGTCCAGTATCAGTGCAAATGCCAATCTGTACCAGTACCAACCATCTTGCAGAAAATGGTTCACTTTCTAGAGTCCTAAGCTTGTTCTGGACTCTGTTTCTGTCTTGCATTGTTATATTCAGATTGGTCTACCCAAGATATCAAATTCCTGTTCACTCACAGCTTATGTTTGGATTCACATTGTATGAAGAAGCAAAAAGTGAAGTAGATGAGATCTCTTAAAGTTGTACAATAGCCTGGGAATGATACATATTAATGCAATATGATGTGAGAAAACAGGTGGAACAAACTAAGCTTTTCATTATTTTTATTGCATTAAAATGCCCTCCTATTAACAGTCATTTGTAGGTCCAATAGGGCAGTTATGAAAATTAAAAGCTTCCAAGTTATTATATAATATTCTTTGCCTGCATGATGAAAAGTCTCAAATACCTATATTATTATCTTAGACAGCCTCATTTTCCTATATCCTTGAGTACTAAGCTACTCTAAGGAAGCATTGGTTTCCAATTACAGTTTGTTCTGTTGTGCTAAGTTTAATTCCTATTTGTATCTTTAGGCCCTTTTACACACATTTCTAAGCATGATCTTCAACTCCCTCTCAAGTCATAAAAAAAAAACATTTAAGGTACTCAGGTGCCATCTTTATAGAGTATTTGTTATCACAATGCCAAGAAATAGATTGAATGAACCTTGAAGTCTGTGTATGGCCATCCATTCAGGCATTTTTGGATGTTATGATTGGAATGTAGAAGTATCCTCTCAAGAATGGCTGATTTTGCAAGCCATTTGAAGGCATTGGTGGTGATGGAGTACCCAGGGGTTGTTCAGAATGTTGATAGAATGCTTGCAACCCTGGGAGGACTCAAAGAAATTTCCAAGGTATGTCTATGACCAGTCCATTCTCCATTGGCAATATTATTAGTGTGCTTCTTCAAGTTAGAGTCAATAAGTCAACTCTCAGTTTTGAAGTTGGTGATATACACAGCCTCTTGATTACTGTGCCTTTCTTGCTCTGTCCAGCTGTGCAGTGGTCACTCTGCATCGCTTCAATTGCCATCCATTCCAACCCAGGTTTACTTGGGAATGCCTGATTTTGCTAAAGCAAGGGAACTTGCTTTAGCAAATTAGAAGGGAATTTGCATAATTTTACAGATTGGTCAAAACATAGCATCCAGTTTATAAGATAAATGAACAGGGCATGATTAAACATACATCATTACTAATGAAATGGAGTGTGTGAAAGTTGTGAATTTTATGGTGCATGCTGGAAATCAAGGCATGCTCGATTTCCAGCATGCATGGAGCCTTAACCATACATCATGTAGTTTGTGAATGCTGCAAAGGTTCCTGTCAATGTGATTAGTAACCCCTTAAGCAGGAAGAATACCTTTTGACAGTTTTATTAAATGCTTATACTATAAGGAAACTGTCTTTTGGTAACTTGATACTTTTACATACCATGGATAGAACAGGGTCTTAAGATGGAATTTTAATTCATTAAACTTGAAATTGAGACAGCTAGCCAGGATGAGAAATTTAAAATGCAGTGTGAATCATTAATAATTCCTCAATACAGAAACCAATCTACAGGGTGTTCGTAGTTAGACACAAAATAGGGAATCCTTTGCCGCCTGTATGCGGAGTACCTTCGGCGCCTTAGAGCCCACCGGGTTGCATATCTGGAAGGATTAAATCCCTGGTGTGTTTCCTTGCAGATATGCAACCCGGTGGGCTCTAAGGCGCTGAAGGTACTCCGCATACAGGCGGCAAAGGATTCCCTATTTTGCGTCTACGAACACCCTGTATATGCATACGTGAGACATGGTGTTAATATGTATAGACTTTTGTAGGCTTTCTTCAGTGAAGAAAGAGAACGACAGAAATTTTCACTCTGCTTTCGACCTGATGACCCTCACTGTAAACCCTGTCATGGTGAGAGAATGCCTTCTGCAGGATTGCTGATACGCATTAAGCGCCGCAGAGTGATCAGAGCAGATGGCCAAGAAAGTGTGACCCACAGCAGCCACATTCTTGGCAAGATTCTCACTATGTACCACTTCAAAGGTGCACATCCATGATATCTCCTTTCTTTTCTAGAGCCGTGGCTTTCATGTTCAAGCTGATTCATGCTGCTTTCCTTCTTTCTTTCTTGCTTATCCATATCTGTCTACATTTCCTCCAGGCAGGAATCAGTCTTTGAATCTGAATCTCTGAATCAGTCATGCCAATTTTTCATTTCTTTTCAATGAGCCACATGCTCTGTTGCGAAATCTACCAACTGAGTTGTTTAAGGATACCTTTGTAAAATAATAGGTGACACAGAAGTGTAACTATTTATAGGCTGTGCTCATACCTTTTTCTTCACTCAATAGTGCTCAGCATTATTTTGACCCCTTCTAATGCTGTGTTTGTCTTAGCCAGTCAGAGGAAACCAGTGTCTGGTTGCAAGGTTATATTTAGTTTTTGTGGTCACAGAATATGCCATAATAAATTCTCATAGCCTCAATTCAATTAGAGTGTGGGTATTTATTAGCTAAAAAAAAATAGTACAAGTATGATCAAAGCATGGTCAAATTCGACAAAAGTATTTTCAAATGTTTCTGTCACTTTAAAATTGTTATCTAAGAAATGCTTGAACTGAAACTGATGGTGAGAGAAAAATTGTTCTAATTAAATGGGACTCCACATTTTTCTCTGTTCAGTCCTGTGGACCATAGACAACTTTGCCACTGCCATTGAAAAACACA